CACACGACTTCCAAATTTGTGTTTTCCATTGTCCTCTTTGTCCTCTCCTATTTGTCATCGTCATTGGGGTGGTAGAATTTTCCAGATATCTGCCTGGACAGGTGTTGAATCATTCCTATTACGTGTGTTGATCTGCACTTGATTCGATAAAAAAAGCTTCTGTTATCGATCTCTCCCTCCCTCCATCTTGTTACATTCGATTTCAAAACTGTCATCTTGTCCCATCTCATCCAGCCTATTGTATGGTAGGTTGTGTGTAATTGCATGTCATGTAGTGGTTGCGGTAGCTTCTGAACTATTCTCTAGATTTCTTATCTTTCTTATTCGCGTCAACCAATCTAGATTTCGCTGCTAGGTTTTTATGTTCGCTAAGTCTGACTCAGTGACTGACGCTGTTCTACTACTTTCACCCATCTATGTATATGACCTGACAATCATCGCAGACAGGGTATTAGATAAAATAAATTGTTGTTTTGTTTTGAAGGCTCCAATGTCAGGATTGATCCTTTAACCGACAAAGCATCTTTCTAATTGAGTTTGTGGTTGGTTTGAATTCCAGCCACTTTTATTCCTGCCAGCATTGGTGAGAATTCTGCGTAAGGTGGTTTCCGAGGTTCCTTCCTTGTATGGAATTACTGTTGATGATTTACATTCCTTAGTGTTGGTGTTGTCAATTTTATTATTAGTTGTATTATTATTATGATTCTTGTTATTACTCTTGTTATTATTATTATTATTATCACTATCACTACTATCACTACTTATTCCATTTTTTTAACATATTTTTACATATTTCCTGAATAACTTATCAGGGTCACTATCAAGTTTCAAGGCTTCTCTTATATGTGGATCGCTTCCTGTCTCAGGTATTCCAAAGTATTTTTCTTTCACGTTCCCTAGTTGAACATAAGGCTTCCAGTTTCTGGTGGCTTGAAGTTTCTGTAGGAGTGTTTATTTTACAGGATGGAGCTGTTAGCCTCATGATCAACCTTTCCTCGTTACCAGGATTATTTCTGGCTTAGCGAGGTAGTACTTAATTTTTTGTACTATGTTTATCGAATCACCTGAAAATACATGTAATAGGAATGATTCAACACTTGTCCAGCCAGATATCTGGAAATGTTCACCACCACAATGACGACGACAAATAGGAGACGACAAAGAAGACTATGAAAAACACAAATTTCGAAGTCGTGTAATTAGAAATGGTGATTTGTATGATTGTGAACAGCATTAATGAATTGTGGTCGAAACTTTGTCATCCAGTAAATACCAATACTGTTTCACTCACTCACTCACTGGCTGTGTGATATATCCATCTAATAAACAAACTCATATGGAGAACGTGTATCCATCAGTATGTCAACTAATGTGTATTAAAAGTGACATAATTAGTGACAATAATAATAATAATAACCGGTGTGATCTGAAAAGGATGGAATCAATCGATAGAACATCGATATCGATCTCATGTCACCTAGCAGAGGTTGTTTGGAAAAAATGAAATCAACTGATAGACGAAGTGTAGAGCCTCATATCACCTGCCATTTACGGGAGAGAATTACCCGGGTTCAAACTGAAAGCGCATATTTTGTATCCTGTAGCAGACTGCTTGACATCGTGACAGTATGTCGTTCCTATGGGGGATAGAGTTTCTTCTGTCACTGTATCCCGATGGTGTCCAGTACTATTTCTCGTGCAAAATCAATGGTGTTTCCTGTTTCTGTTTGGTGCAATTCGCCGACGTAGTTGATTGGTTGGTGCATCTCTGTTCTTACTGTGACAGCATACATGATATTTCAACGTCCGCCGTTCATCACTCCTTCTATACACCCATACACACTGAGAGGGTCGAAGTTCAAGTCAAAGAAACAATCAGTTCCAATATAACTAGCCGCCCACAGGGGTTATGAAAACACACAAAAATAACAAATCACGTCCAAGGTGGTCACCAGGAGTGGTGATGAATAAACTCGTGGAGAAATCTAAAAGATCACTTCAATTCAAATTGAAGTATGCGCTGAAGGAAGATGTCGCCTAGTAGGGTGATGAAAGATTCGCAAATCAACTACCCAGCTAGCTCAGAGAAGACAACCACATGAAAAGAATTTGCTTCGATTATTTCCTATAAAAGGCTTTTTCGAAATCCGTGTGTGATAAGGGATCTATCTCCACTTCCTGACGGTGATTTTAGATTGTCTGACGGTGTAAGCAAAATATTCAATTCATAACTGGTAGTCACCAAGGTTTAATCAAGTCTGATAACAACTGATTCATTGATGACTAAACTGTGTGCCAATGTCTCCTCGTTTAGTACTGCTTGTAAAATAAATGTAGGGCACTTAAGCCTTGAACAAATTAACTGCTTAAATGGTTCTTTACCCCGATGATCTGGCTAAATACCTTATACCATTGCTTGCTTTTGTTGGAAGCAATGCGTCCAGGAACCTGTCCGTGGTGATATTATAAACCCTGTGTTCTGCTATGATATAATACTCGTTTCATATATGTTGGTGACATATTTTCCAGTAGCGACTTACCAATGGGACTCTGCTCTCTGACTCTCTCATCACTAAATACAAGGAGCAAACACGATTCATGGATCATGAGATAGCGTAGTTACGAGCACATAGATTGGGGAATAGTCCAAGAACTCACTCGATGCAATCAGTGGGACGATTACTTTACTACTGGCATCCTGGAGACTATGATATCTCTCTCTTATAAGAATGTAACCCTGTTCCTATATACTGCAGCTCATAAGAAGACTGTAAATTTACCTAAACATCAAGACGAGTAAAATCCAAAGCTTAGAATTCGTCAGTGCTTCTTAAAAACCGAATGATGTCCACAAATGACAGCCCTTGCTTACTTCACAACAAAGTAGTCTAAAGTAACCCAGCCATCATCTGTGAACATTTCAGTGACTGATCTGCGAATTTTAGTTTAGAAATATGCACCTCTAATGAAACTGCACCCCTGACTAGCTTCTCTCTCAGGAGCATCGTGTTCACCAGTGAGCTAATAGTACAAGCCATTTAATACCTTAGACATTCTACTAGAACTGGACCTGATGGAATCTCCTCGATAATTTTCAAAACGGTTGGTGTGAAATTTCTCTCCCACTTCGTATTCTCCTCGTTTATGGACACTGGCACTTACCACATTGAGTTGAAAACCAGCTTTATAATCCTACACTACAAATCTGGTCCTTAGGCTGACGTTCACAATTATAGACCTATAAACATAACACCAGTTATCTTGCAAGTTTTCGGGAGAGTTGTTAAAGTACAACAATCTACTTAGGGAAGATCTTGTTGCAAGGTGTCAACATGAGCCTCTCAAAAATGGGATCTGAGCTACTTGTCACACTAATATCTCCGTCTACATTACTGGGAGTCACGAAGGAAGTAAGAAACTAGTAATCGTTCTCTACTACAATATATCGAAGGTATTTCACATGGTTTCTCAAAGTATTCTCTTGAAGAAGCTGCATTCCTGTGGAACTCGTAATCCATTGCTTGGCTGACTGAAGATGTGTCTAAGCGATAGGATACAAATAACTAGATTCGAATCCGTGTTTCTCATCCTAGGCAGATCACAAATGATCTTGTAGAGGGTAGTGTCCTAGGACCACTTCTATTTATAGTCTACATTAATAGTATTTATGACTGCTTCACTTCACGTAAATCACTCCTATATACTGATGAACTCGGAGTCTTTTACTCCTACAATGGCCATGAATTATACGACTTGACAAATGATATTTTTCCTGGACTAATTAGTTTCAGATAATGGTGGGCTTATTTCTGTCTGAAGTATAACACTGACAAATGCGTCTGAATTTGCTTTGGTGACATTAATCTTTGCCTAGATACTGAAATGAATTGGCGAAATCTGACCGAAGTTAACCTTATTGTAGATCTCGACATCAGAAACTCTAGTAATTCAACCTTCTCTGAACAAACCAATTACAGTGGATATAAAACACAGAGGCTTCTACGTTGTATCACTTTCAGTTTCTTTTGCTATCAAATAGGAGTTTTATCATACAAAGTGTGCGTTGGACATATTTTAGAATTGCGCCCGCTTATTCTCAGTATAATCCGGCTGAATGACAAGCTTAATTAAAAGGGAGTGCGACGAGAATCTACTTCTGAAGCTCTTGGCTCAGAATGTGGTCTGGACTCCGCTGAGTGTTGCAATAGACTAAATAAAGGTAGAGACTCTCTGGAAAAGATATCTGAACTAATCTTCTTCTCCACTCTTGTAGATCAATAACTAAACCTACCTCTGTAATCAGTTACAATCTTAGAAACCGTAACAGCTTGGTTGCTACAGTGCACTGACAGAACTACATGCAGGCTAACTTCTTCTTAAATACGTTTTCAGTCATTTGGAATAGACCAAAAGTTAGTTAGTTGTGTGGCTCAAACACAGTTCCAGTATTCATTTATTCAGTCATCAGACTCATCAAAGATGACAACGCTATCCTCCATCTGACTACTATGCGTTCTTCTTTGCCTCACTGATAGGATCCCACATATTTTGGTATTGACTGTTTAATCTTGTATATATGGTATATTATCATTCTCACGCATTTTGGTATTTACGGTTAATCTTGTATATATGGTATATTATCATTCTCACGCATTTTGGTAGTGACTGCTAATCTTGTATATATGGTATATTATCATTCCCACACATTTTGTTACTGACTGTCAACCTCGCACATATGGTATATTATCATCTCTCACGCACTTTGTTATTGGCTATTAAGATAAATTATTTCAAATGCTGTTAGCTGTCCATATTGTTGTAAAATGTATAAATACCATGGCTTTCTTTGTCGTTGTTGCACTTCAATACACAGTCACAGTCCAGCCTTTGTCTTTTGATATTTGCGTGCTTTACTAAATCGGAAGGTACGACGAGCAGATAGGCAGATTAGTTCAGGCGCAGACAGAATAAGGTGTAAACGTCTTCATTCAATTCCCTACAGTTATAACAAATTGGCGACGGGGTTTTACTTTAATTCAGTGCAGTTATAACAAATTGGCGACGGGGTTTTACCTTAATTCATCGCAGTTATAGCAAGCAAACGACGACAGTTTTTCTTCTGTTCAGCGCAACTATATAACATTTTTGACTGTGTTAATTACAACCCAATTACAATGTCTATCTCTCTGGACGATCTCAAATCTATCTTGCAGCAGCAGCAGGTTCAGAATGAAGCAGCTCAACTAAAATTAATCGAAGCTCTCACTCAGAAGCTGTCCATTCAAGTTCCATCAACATCTCATTCTGACAAATATGAAAGCATCTCAAATTCCATTAGTGAGTTCAACTACGACCCAATATCTGGTCTCGTATTTGATGCATGGTTCAATCGTTACGAAGATGTTTTCCGTATTGAATGCTACATGTTTGATGATGCTGCCAAAGTCCGATTGTTACTAAGAAAACTTGGTACTGTTGAGCACAACAGATATGTTAACTTCATTCTGCCTAAGAACCCACGTGAGTTATCATTCGATGAGACAGTCACCGTTTTATCACAAATCTTTGGTGAACAGTCATCCATGTTTAATATTCGGTATCAATGTTTTCAGTTGACAAAAATGCCTTCCGATGATTATGTGACTTACGCTGGCAAAGTGAACAAGGAATGTGAAAGGTTCAAACCACACGAAATGACATCAGATCAGTTCAAGTGTTTGATTTTTATTTGTGGGTTGAAGAACCCAGAAGATACTGACATACGAACTCGACTTCTGTCACTTGTGGAACAAGACCCGAAAATGACCTTACAAATGGTGACAGCAGAATGCCTACGTTTAATCAACTTGAAGCACGATACTGCTATGGTGGAGTGCAAACGACAGTCGTCTGAATTTGGTTCGATTAACACAGTGAAAAGTCCTCCGATCACCGTTAAGCACACAGAACGTCAGTCTCAAAATTCAGCTAAACCTCCTTCAGTGTGCTGGCACTGTGGTTCGTGGCATTTTGTCAAGTTCTGTCCTTTCAAGAAGCATAAATGCCGTAATTGTCACCGTTTTGGACATAAGGAGGGTTACTGTACTCCGCAGAAAAATTCTTCGGTGAGGAACAGAAGTAGTCGTTTCAAGCCGAAACGATCTCCTCGAGTACAGACCGTTTTCACTACTTCCAAAGTCGAGTTCGCCAGCAAACGTAAGTACATAACACTAGATATTAACGGCAAACGTATTCGTCTTCAGTTGGATACGGCATCAGATATCACCGTAATTTCCCGAACTACGTGGCGCAAACTTGGTTGCCCACAGATTCTGCCGACCGAGCATGTCGCCAAGAATGTCTCTGGAGATATACTGAAACTCGTGGGTGAGATAAATTGCCAGGTTCAGTTTGGTGAGCATCACTTCAATGGTGTATGTTACGTTACAAACTACCATGATTTGGATTTGCTTGGTCTTGACTGGTTAGACAAGCTCCATATCTTTAATGTACCATTAAATTCAGTATGCTCTAATGTTTCGTCTTCACCACACAACGTTGTTCCCGGAGATGTATCTGATCAATCTCTCTTGCAACGCCGTCGTCAAAAGCACGCTTCTGTCTTCCAGGACAAACTTGGTTGCTGCAAACTGTTTGGCATCCAGCATATTCGTAGCCCCCCGTATCATCCCCAATCGAATGGACAGACTGAACGTTTCGTCGACACCCTTAAGCGTGCTTATGCAAAAGCGAAGGGGGAGGGAACAACAGAAGAAATTTTGGATAAATTCTTGCTGCATTATCGTACGAATGAAAAAGGACAGTTATGTGTCAGACACACAGATCACGCTCTATCCAGTACCACGCAAAGGTCAACTCGACAAAGAAGAGCTCCGAAACCTTTTCAAATAGATCCAAAAAGCAAGTCCTACACTCTTTACGGGGGAAGGTGATAGGATCCCACATATTTTGGTATTGACTGTTTAATTTTGTATATATGGTATATTATCATTCTCACGCATTTTGGTAGTGACTGCTAATTTTGTATATATGGTATATTATCATTCCCACACATTTTGTTACTGACTGTCAACCTCGCACATATGGTATATTATCATCTCTCACGCACTTTGTTATTGGCTATTAAGATAAATTATTTCAAATGCTGTTAGCTGTCCATATTGTTGTAAAATGTATAAATACCATGGTTTTCTTTGTCGTTGTTGCACTTCAATACACAGTCACAGTCCAGCCTTTGTCTTTTGATATTTGCGTGCTTTACTAAATCGGAAGGTACGACGAGCAGATAGGCAGATTAGTTCAGGCGCAGACAGAATAAGGTGTAAACGTCTTCATTCAATTCCCTACAGTTATAACAAATTGGCGACGGGGTTTTACTTTAATTCAGTGCAGTTATAACAAATTGGCGACGGGGTTTTACTTTAATTCCCTACAGTTATAACAAATTGGCGACGGGGTTTAACTTTAATTCAGTGCAGTTATAACACTCACATAGGTTTGCTAGTTTCGAATAAATGTACAATTAGCAACATAATTCACTAATAAATGTTAATATTATTGGAGAAATTTGTTCAATGTTTGCAGACATGGCATGAATATTAGCTCACACATGTAATAGAAATACAAAATTTGCTGTGAAGTGAGTTTGGTGCCGTAGGATGAATTCCAGTGGAACAAGAGCCTGTGGAAAATCACGGATAATCTTTGAACTAGCATTATAGTCATCATACCTATAGAGTATCGAACGGCCTTCACGTTCTTTCAGTATAGTAGAGAGATCTATCCACCTCCAGATCGTCTGAAATACATAAGAGGTGTATTTCAGGATCAAAATCGTTGAGCTATGATGATTGCTTAGGTGAATGCACGAACAAATGAATATGACACGACTGTGTGTCAAATGGTGTGGATGCTTATCCGTGTGCCATCAGCTTAAGAAGTTGACTTAAAACAATGAACAGCTATTGTACACCTATGTGAATGAATTCGCCGAAAAGAGTCTCTTCGCTGAACGTCTTCTCTTTTTCATATGACTAAATGGGGATTTTCAAGATACTCAAACGTTGCAAGGACCCAGGGACGGTGAAGGAGCTGGATGGTTTCCTGCGTTACTCCGTCAAGCTTGCGGTAGCGAAGACAAAGGTTGATTTCTTAAGAGATTGTATAGATCGACATGAGTATCCAAAGATGTATTGGAAGTCACTCAGACGCAACCACATCCAACCGAATACCAGAACACTCAGACGACACACACGAAACAACATCGACTCCATTCAATCACGCGTGTTCGAGCTAGAGCGAAACGTCTACTCAAGAGCTCATGCAGTCGAAGACTTAGATCAAGATCTACGCCATTCCTTCGAAGAATATGTGCAACAAGTCACTCAGAAAGAATGCAACAAGACTAAAGCAGATCTGCTCAAAAGTCTAAAGCCTACAATTAATACCGAATCTCCGTTCCCAAGCAATCCAGAAAAATACGTATTCAATCTTTCAGACATCACACTATCTACTACCCAACTAGAGGCACTATCTCTAGGTCCGAAATTCTGCGTAAAACCACAATGTATTGACAAGCTACAATGCCAGATTCAGTTTGAAAATCTAATAAACCAAACCTACGATCTCACACCCACATCAGATGAAAACCTACAACAACTCAAAGCATCAATCCTCGACAGTTGTCACAAGTTTATAAATACCAAACCCAACGGAAGGTCCATTTTGACGAAGAGGCATTATAAGGAGCTGAAAGAACTTATGAAAAACGAAGAGATTATGATATTACGTCCTGATAAAGGCGGAGGAATCGTTATCATGAATCGTAAGGACTATATCAGTAAGATGCTGACTATACTATCCGATGAATGTAAATTCACAAAACCGGTCAACGAGAAAAACATGACTGAACAGACCGAACAAAAGCTAACGGACACCCTCCGTAAGCTAAAAACTGAATCTTTCATCAGCAACGAAACGTTTGAATCCATAAGACCATCCGGCTCAAATATACCACGACTCTATGGACTTCCGAAAGTACACAAGAACGGTATCCCTCTTCGACCGATCCTTGACATGACCAATTCGCCTTATCACCGCACAGCCCAATGGCTAGCAGATCTACTAGAACCAATCAGAAGACAAGTTTCCTGCCACACAGTTCGAGATTCATTCGACTTTATCGACTCAATTGAAAACATCAACGTATCCAACAGGACCATGATCTCATTAGATGTCACATCACTATTCACAAATGTTCCACTGACTGAAACAATATGCTATGTATGCGAACTTATTGATTCCAAAGGAATAAACATCGGTATACCCACCGAGCGTCTTAAAGAACTCCTTCTGAGGTGTACCCTGAATGTTCAATTCTCTTTCAACAACGAAATATATCGCCAAAAGGATGGTATAGCTATGGGCTCACCACTAGGCCCATTACTTGCAGATTTCTTCATGGCAAAACTCGAAAACACATGCATGAAGAAAATGATCGATACCTTCGGAATCTACAAGAGATACGTCGACGACACTTTCATTATCGTCAACAATGAAGAGAATCTAGACGACATCCTGAAGTCGTTTAACAAGTGCCACCCCGCAATTCAGTTCACGCTGGAGAAAGAGTCCAACTCTAAAATATCCTTTCTTGACATCCAACTAACAAGACGAGAACACGATGGAACACTGAAAAGATCTATCTACAGAAAGTCAACATGGAACGGACAGCTGATTAACTTCCACAGTTGGGTACCCCTATACACCAAACGGAACCTGATCCGTTCACTTAGCAACAGAGTTCGCAGAATTTGTACCCCGGACACCGTAGAAGATGAACTGGACAATCTCAAGAGAATCCTCGTCGAGAATTGTTACCCAGAACGATTTATTGCAAAATCTATGAATCCTAGGCCACAAAAGCCACCCACGCATAGCGTCCCGAAGAAACCGCTCTACATAAACCTTCAATTCAATGGAGATATATCTGCGGAAATACTAAAAAATCGACTGTCGCGCTCACTCAAGAAGACTTTCTTCGCAGCTGAACTACGACTAACTTTCTCCACAAAACCTATGATTCATGTGAACGTGAAGGATAAGCTACCACTGTTGGCCTTATCAATGTGTATCTACCAATTCACCTGCTCGTGTGGAGCCAGGTATGTCGGCCGTACCCAGCGTTCGCTTTCCAAGCGTATCACCGAACACTTACCAGCATGGTTTTACAAAGGAGAAAAGCGATGTCCCCGCAGCTCCATCTTAGAACACCTGATAGAATCCGGACACCAAGCTGCACCCCAAATAAACATCAAAGTCGTCTACAGAGTAAGAAGTAGTCTTCCAAAAGGTGTACGAATCAGACTTCTTCAAACTGCAGAAGCAATGGCGATTCACTTGCTAAGCCCTGAACTCTGCATACAGAAGAGGTTCGTTCAATCACTAAACTTACAATGGACTTAACCTACATTATTACCTGAAAGGTAAATTCTACCTAATTTTTTTTTCTGTCTCTGTTATATCTTGCTCTGTCTGCGCCTGAACTTATCTGTCTATCTGCTCGTCGTACCTTCCGACTTAGTAAAGCACGCAAATATCAAAAGACAAAGGCTGGACTGTGACTGTGTATTGAAGTGCAACAACGATAAAGAAAGCC